ATATATATATATATATATATATATATACACACACCAATATGATTGTTAAGATAAAATTCTGATAACAGCACACCTTTTGTGAATTTTTTGTTTTATATAGTTACCAAAGTTTTTAATTTATTACTTTTTAGAATTTTATGATGTATTTTCATATTTGAGATGTTTTTTCGTTTTTTTACATTTTTTTGTTTTTCTCTATCAACATAAAAGAAAAATGACAGTTATTATGTTAACAGACCTTATAAAGTTGTATATATGTATATATTTCATTTTAGAGTGTGTCACCTTAAGTAGGTCATTCTAATTGTGCCACCTTAAATATCATTTCATTAATGTGTGTATGTATGCACAAGTGTTTGCACGCATGTTTGAAGGCAGCATTCATAATAATACGAGGAAATAAAAAATTAACTTTTTACTGCACTATATATATCAAAATATAAAGATTGGTAGTAGTTGATGCCTATTAAAACATAAATAGTCTTCATAGTGACAATTCAACGAGCTTCTTTCATTTATACTTTGTTTTAAGAGTTACAATTAGCTTCACTATACATAAGGACCAGTTTTTTAAATGAACGGACATGTCAACAAAAGTAGGACATGGAAGTAGGAACTAAAGAAAACCTCCAAGCCTGAGACTGGCAAGGTAATTGGAAAGGACTGGGGCGAGAAAGAGTCAAACACAAAAAACATAATGGTACCCCCCACGCACAAAGATAATGAAAAACTTAATAAAAAAAAAAGGTATAGGGCAGACTCCACAAACTGCAAGTTGACATCCAATAGAAATGTATGACTAAATATATGAAAATGCAGTTGAAAGCTACATAGAATGAAAATGATAAATTAATATAAGTACACTAGGTTATGAGGGGAATAACACAAGCAGTAATCCAGATAGCCATACTCTTTACAATCCACAGAAAAAGACAAGATAACCTTCCAACTATAGTGAAAAAAAGCTATTAAAGGCAGAAGAGCATGGTTATGACAGTAAACAAAAGGCTGTCACATCAATGTGAGACCGGACAGAAGCTGAGGAATGGACAACACTGATAAGTAATGGGGAGGGATGTGCTCATCTTTTGATGGAGATAAGAGAAACAGATATTAAATGGATGTTACTACTCCACAAGATCAATGTCCTTTAAATTTTGTCTTTCTATTACACAAGTTGTTTTAAAGCCCTCTTGACATTTTATGAGGGGGGAGAACGACACACCTCTTTGGAAATATATAATGGAGCTTAACAGAAAAACAAACAAAACATTCGTCAGAGCCCACAAGTTCAAGTTAGTTGTTTTAATGAAATGGGTTAAAGAATTGTGAATTACAGAAACCAATAATCATTATTGGTCAGCTATTGGCAAAGCAGTCTTTTTTTTTTATTTAACAACAACGATAGTGCAACTTTTACTTGCCAATTTGATTTTGTTTCCACATTTCAGGTTTTAAGGACGGTTCTTTATTTAAGCTAAACTAGATGACAGCTGGATCACGGAAAATTGTTCTTGGGCATTGTACGCCTTAACATTATGAATACTTAGAATTTGTGTTTAGGTAAAGCCCGTGACAGCAAGTTTTATTACAAATAGCCTAATACCCTGAGATAAAAAAGAAAGCTGTCCTAGACCACATTATATCAGTTTTACTTTTTTAAAAGAGAGTAACTAACATTGTGCTTTTCTTGTTGGTTCAGTAAAGTTTCCAATGTATCAAGCCTATTGATGACCTCATCCAACTTTTGTTGTAGCCGTAAAATAGCAAAGGCCAGCTGCTCTGTAGTATCTGAAGCCACTTCTCTTGGTCGAGATCTGCCAGCTCCATCTTGCCCACCACTTCCCGATGCACCACTCATGTGCAAATGTTGACAACCACGACTACCAGTTGCTGCTTCTGTTGATAGTGAAAACAAGGAGTTATTTAAGTACCACTGGATCACCAATATAATAGCATCATACCACTGGTATTGTACCATTAACAAAATTTTTTGTTACTGTATACAAATATTCTTTGATCTAAATAACTATGATTGAAAAGTAAATGGAAATGAGCATTGTTTAAACAACCAGCATGAAACAAGATCTTTTAATCACCATTTACTATTGTCATATACATATATAAAAAGTGGAGACAGTTAAACAGTACAGTATACAACACAGAAATCTACAACACTTCAGGTAATATCATTTGTGTCAAACTTTCTTTGTTGTATGTAATAACCCTCCTATTATGTTATGTTTGGGTCATACTGACCTAATGCAGTTTCAAACAAATTGAAACAACCTTGAATTGATAAAATACTTTTTCTTTACATAGCTTTTACCCTTTTATGTTAATCTAGCTGAGAGTACTCCTTCAAGATGCAAAAACCGTATAAATGACAATGTTCTCCTTCTTTCTTTTGTTATTCAATCTCTAATTGAAGGTAATAATTGATTCATTGTGTATTTCAATTCAAAGCCAAAAGTCTATAAAAAAGTGAAAATGTACACTATTTCAGGGATTTTTTTATCCCCTTTTCAAGAACAAATCCTAAAACAAAATAGCCCAAGTACAATGGACAAGTTTTCAGTTACCATACAAAACATTATGGTAAATGAGCCAGCAAACTCTGGACGATGCAAGCCAAAAGTGGATAAAAAATTGTTCCCTATTTCAGAGTCATAATTTTACCCCCCTTCTCAAGCAAAAAACCTAAAACAAAATAACCCATGTATACTGTTGGATAGTTTCTACTTGCTATACAAAATATTTTATTGTAGTTAAGCCAACCGACCATGAGTGGTTAAAGCCAGAAGTCTATAAAAAGTGTGTCCTATTTCAGCCAACTCTAGGTGAGGGATTCATCATAACAAACTCAAATGTGAAAGTAATGCATCATTACTTTATGAAAACCAGTGTCAGGTCAAACAGACCCAAAATATAACAGGAGGATTAAAGTAATTTAGAGATCAATACAAAAATCCATCAAAATGAAACAAATGCTGTAAACACAGATCATCATGGTTACTACACCTAGTAATAAAGCAACAGATGGCTTTTTCTTATTGTAAGATTTAGTATGGCATTTAATAAATAGTATATGCAAGTTTTAGTACCACATGGGTATGCAGTGTTTTGAATACAAATGTGTATTTTTACATAAATAATTATATGTTTCAATAATTAAGGTAAATGCACTGGTTTTGCAATATGTACTTTATATGACAATCTTAAAATCATTATTTTTAAAGTGTTTTGTTTTTTCTTTAAGCACCAACAATTCCACCATTTCTCAATGACCATGAATTTTCTTTCAGTCACATAAACATCAAGGAAGATTCACAAAATCAGTTTAAAAAAAGATGTATTCAAATATGTAATACAGGAAAAACCTATTCACGTAAACTTCTAACTGGTTAATATCAAGAAACATTTGTAGTACTTAGAAAATTCTCTCTTAGCTTAGAAAAGTGAACTATTTAGTTTACATAAATTTTCAAATACATACATTTTTAGAACACCCACAGACTTTCATAAATAAGAAATCTGCCTTGTGTAGTATTGAACCTACGTGCTAGTTACACATGGTCAAGACTTATGTCTCATTCACATATTTTGGGTTTTTTTCTCATGGGAAATGCTGTTGGAGACCTAGTTTTGATATTGTATCTACTGCCTCAAGTTGCATCTCTATGTCTAAGTAAAGAAATGTTTAGAAACTATATACACCTTACTTTCTCTCAGAACAACCAGTGATGTGGGTAGCACTTATCCACTGAGAAGGTATGGCATTACTGTTATACATTGACAGGATATGACTTTTTTTTGGTTATATAATGTCATATACTCTCTAGTCTAGGGAAAGATCTCCAGTGTAAGTACTGTCCATTGTCCCATGCACTTCTTTAGGTAATAATAGGATAATAATAAAGTTTCTATAATTGATATTAACACTTTATCATCTCCATCCATATATTTACACATGCTAGACATAATCTCCATCCATATATTTACACATGCTAGACATCATCTCCATCCATATATTTACACATGCTAGACATCATCTCCATCCGTATACTTACACATGCTAGACATCATCGTCATCTGTATATACTTACACATGCTAGACATAATCTCCATCCATATATTTACACATGCTAGACATAATCTCCATCCATATATTTACACATGCTAGACATAATCTCCATCCATATATTTACACATGCTAGACATAATATCCATCCATATATTTACCCATGCTAGACATAATCTCCATCCATATATTTACACATGCTAGACATCATCTACACCCATATACATACGCCAAATGTCTCGTGCACCATCTAACTGCATTGCAACTGGTTTGTTGTGGTCAAAGCATTGCTACAGTAATGGAAAAAAACAATTCCATAGATGATAAGGGATTAAAGGTTAGACTATATATTTGGTGGGAACAATTTATATATGAATTACATACTTTTAATGGAAGAACTAAAGGAATTACCAAGAATATCAGAAATGTAGAAAATCCCTAATAGTAGTTACCCAAATTCTAATGTTTTTAACTGTAGATTTGTTCAGATCACAGATTTCTTTACATCCTCCATTTATATAGATGTAAATGTTAAATTTTTACACCAAGCAGATGATAGCTATAGGACAGAATACAAGTGCATAATACAGCTTCACAGTCATATTATTTGCTTGACCCAACAATCTACTAATACTGTAAATCCATCACTCTGAGAATATAAAAGTGTTGGTGTGATTTCTAACAAAGCTAGTTTAATGCATATATAATGATATATAATTCACTACAAAACTTTACCACAGGTAATGGAGGAATCAATCGTGGTTTATGAGTATGATTGCTATTGTTATACATTCCTTACTGCCTGCACCATTTATCTTTCAAGCTCCCCCCCCCTCTCTCCAATTCATTTTCTAATCTCATTAAGCCTTCAATTTTAGCCATCCCAATTTCTTCCAACTTTTCCTCAGATTTAATTATATGAATGAACATGTATGAGTAGTAATTACATTATGTACTTTTATTATAGTCAGGAAGATAAAATTTTTGGCTATTGACAATTCAACTATAATTACAAAAAAAAAGAGGAGACAATTGAACTTTGAATGATACACTCACCTCTTGTGTGTCGACGACTTGAGGCCTGGCCAGAAGGATTAACCTGTAAAGGATTGGGTATTCTTTTACCAGATGTGAGGTCACCCCCACCTCGTGTTTTAACTATCAATTCTTCATTTTGGCCATTTCTTTTAGATGCCTCAAGGCCTGCTACATCTTGCAGTTGAAATTCACCACTATCACCACTTTTCTGAAGATCTGTATTTTTAGTTGTGGCCCTCTCAGAATATACTGACCAAGTCTGATTGTCATTATCTACCATAACTATTGATTCACTCTGGATATCAACACCACTATCCCCATTAACCTGCTTCTTGGCAAGTACCCGCAACTCATCATCATCATCCTGCAACCAGAGAAATTCAAACAGCAGATTTTAAATGTCTGTACTGGTAAAATCACAAACAGATTACCCAGCAATAAAAAAGTTAAACATCTATATGTTGATAAAATTTCTCGTATCAGAAACTCTTTAAAGTATTGAGTTTATAGCAAACTACTTAGTAAATCATTGACATGAAACTACGTTTTTATTCAAATATATCATTAAATAATAAATTATGTAATAAACAAGAATAAACAAAAATATTTCATTATACTTTCTCTTTTCAGCACAAAGAATACTTCCAATTCAACAATAATAATAGTAACGTAATAATTCCTCCCTCCCTCCCAAGTCACATTACATACAGGAGATAGCCTAAAGAGGTAGGCAGCAGTAAAAAAAAAATTGAAAAAACAGTACTAGTTTGAGAAAAAACAACAACAGATGTTTAAGAATAAATTTATTTTAAGTAATTAAAAATGTATCCTAAATTTAGCAACTCAGACCTCATGCTTTGTTTTTCCACAGTAAAAATTTTATGTCAAATAAACAACTATTATCATTAACTTCTGGCCAAAGCAAGTTACTCACATAAACCAGAATTAAGAATTAACCCAGTATAGCTGATTTCATATACCATTCTTTTCCAATGATATGATTGTTTCTATGACAACCAACACTCCTCAGCAACAACAACAACAAAAATACATAAAAATGTTTCTTGTTTATGATATCTAATTTGTTAAGAATGCATCTTCTATACACGCAGATATAGTCATTACGTTCTTGTGTAAATATCAACAGAATAGGCAATTCCCGCACAATGAAATACAAATACAAGTTCTTATAGAGTTAAGTCTATTCAGAGCCAAAGTAAGGTTCTTCAAAAATAGCAAATGGTGATAATCCAAACAAAGCAACTGTAACAATAAGGTCTTGATGCTGTTATTATCATTCTTGGAATGACTAACAGCTTCTGGAAGACAGATAATACTGCTTCCCCTTGCTACCCAGAGCAATAATAGATTGTAATCAGGATCTTGTACAAAAGTTATACATACCGATGTCATAGTAATGTATTCACCTAAGTACTGTTTTGTTGATCAACATGAGAGGAAATTCAAAAGAAAAAATTAAATCAACATCCTTGTTTGTAGTTTCCTGTACCCAAATGCAAAAAAGAGTTTAGTTAATTAATGCAATTTCCAAAGTTTTACTTTATAATGCACCAAGAAAATCCAAAACAGCATGTTATACTATTATACTAACTTGTACAAGTCTTTGGCCACACCTAGGAAAGCAGGATGAAAAAACAGGACTAAACAAGTAGAAGCTTAGGAAATAACTGTTTTAGTATATAACCCTTATCAAAGGCCTCTGTGCAAATTTACAACATCCTACATCCAGTGATGAAAACTACATGCAGAACATTTGTATAAGCATTCAAAAATAATTACCTGGATATATCCGACTAAAGAACATTCTTCACTAGTTATGTAAAGATTAAATTCTAAAGTATTTCCAAACATGACATATAAACGTGACACAATAAATAATGTTAGTCAATACTGTCCTATGCAGTTTAAAGCTGACTGATGAGGGTTTTATTTTCAGAAGTTCAGAAAAGCTGGTTTTAGTTACATTCAGAACAAGTTCTGGTATCGAACTACCCATACTACAATTAATTTTCATCAGTAATAGAGTCACATACATTTTCAACGTACCTGATGATGACAAAACCTTGTCGAAACGTTGTACATTTGTTGTTATGTTAAACTTATATTAAAGTTTTTCTTTATTGCCCATTCAAGCCATCTCCAGCCATGTGTTCTCATGGTAAGGTTATGAACATGAATGGATTTTATTATGCAGGAGTTAAATTGGCACTTGCTAGCAGAACAAATAAGTGAACCTCACAAACAGTCTACTAAAATAAATAATAAATTTTTGTCGTCCTTTTCCAATCATAAATGTGGATTTTTAGTGAATATTTTTACTTTTTTCATGAGAAAATGGGTTTCAAGGAGTCAGTACAACACAAGAGAATTAGTTTACTGTGTACAGAAAATGATTTCATACAGAAACTATGGGGAATGTATAATTTGATATCAAATCTACGTGAAACATATAACGCAGTTTGAAATATTTTTATTTAGTTGAATAAACCCAACAATATCATGAAAATTAAATATATCTATGTTATTGGATGTCTTGTAGGATGGCTGAATGATTGTTTTATTCTATGTCAATGTATAAGAAATAATTTCCATATCTGTATCTCTATAAAAATTATAAGGACAACATTAGGTATACTGTGAACATATACAATACTCAATTATGTAAAGGAAAAATAACCAGACAAACATTTAAAAACATGCACAGAAACTTGTATTACCTTTCATGCAAATATAAGAAATGTCTTACACACAAACATATATATATATATATATAAGTAAAATTATATCCAACTCCTAAAATCAGTTCATGTTTTTTAAATCAAATAATATCATAAATTATTCAAGTATTTGGTATTTAACATAAAAAATTAAAAAAATAAAATAATAAACCTCAAAAGTGATTATTTACAAGTTAAAACTATGTATTTAAATGTTTTATATACTGTTCTTAGGTGTAGTTAATTAAGGTTTTACAGAAAAATTTCCAGTATTCATTAGCTTCCATAAGAAGGGCCACAGACCTGTTCCAAAAACTCTTTATAAAACTAAGATACATCCAAACTTTAGGGTGAAGATCAATTATAATTTGTTTACAGAATAGCCCAATTTTAGCACAGGGAAAGAAAAGTTTCCACTAATTTTTAGTCAAATCTATAGCTTTTAAATTTTTCATGACTAAAAACAAAAGTTCAATTTTAAAGCATCAAATTACAGGATTTTTTTTTCCCTATCAAATGAGGGACACTTCAAATTATAATCACAACATTTTGGAGTATGTTGGAAAAAATAATGAATAAATCTTATGTACATGTAGCATCCACTAAGATTATATACAAAAATCACCTCTTGAATTTGATCATATGTGTCAGAGAATTCATCCACTTCACTGTCTGAGCCACTACTCTCACTCAATCCATTAACATTTGTAGGTCCATCAATGCCTTGTTCTAGATGTAGAGCAGTTAAAAAACACATCATGAATGCTTCACAAAATCAAACTTGGAAGTTTCCAAAATATAGAACCAAAGACTATTACTTACAGACTGGAGTGAAATAAAGAATGATACGGAAGTATTGCAGTTTGAAAGAAGCTGGTTTGATACAAGAAAATAGAACAATATCTGTCAGAAAGGGTAAGAAAGCTCACAAAATATTTTTTTTCTTTTCTGTTAGATGAAACAGGTTATGCAGTCAGTTTAAAATGCCAGATTTATCCATTGCTAGACCTAATACTATACCCCATAGATATCCAATCAAATCTTTGGTATAAAAAAAGTAATCATAGTATCCAGCATAATATAAATATACTTCTAAATAAACTATTTTGTTTTGGCACAAGTCTTTAGAAGTCTACCACACCTAACTAAAAAAAAAAAGGAGAACTGCTGCTTATATTACTAAATATGCTGTTAGTGATTAAATCAAACTTCTCCACTACTGGAATATTTGGTGCTAAGTAATACAAGGATAATTAGGATGTTGATGATGTAATCAAATCCTTTACTCTGTGTCATTAATGCTAGGACAGAAATCTGTATTCAACACAGAGTAAAAATTGTGTACTGATATATTCTATTAACAACATTTCACTTCAAAAAAAAAAAAAGGGGGGGGGTTTATTCACTTCGAAATATAATTCAACAATTTCCAAAGCTTGAGTTCCTAGTTTCATTGACCTCATACATAAATTTTAGAACTAAGATCCTAAGCCATGGCTAATAACACGTATAGAATTAGTATAACTTCATCACATCAATTAAGTGCAGGAATTTTTAGCAGCTAAAGATATACGTGATGACAAAATAGGAAATCATATTATACAAGGGTGTTTACTATTCACCATACAGTAATGCTTTAAAAAATATGTTGATATCTAATAATGAAAATGTAAAATGGGACATCATTTAATATCTATTAGTCTATATTTATCAGTCAATTATCTTACTTTATATAGTTAACTTTCTAAAGGCTGAATAATTAATGTAGTTATTAGCACTTTCAAAGTGTCAAATCAGGTATATTATTGTTGTTTTTATAATTATTTATTTTACAAATGATTTGACAGAGATATACTTTATTACACTTTCTATTTCACATGTACGTGATAAATAAGTTTCTATAATTTTGATAAAGTTTGAACACAAGCATGTTTATATCAACCATTATATGAAAACAACCTCATTATCAATAGCAAGCTCTAAGCTCCTGGAAAGAGAAACACTCCAAGCAGAATTTAAGATCTCTATTTTACACTGGAAAGGTTAACTACCTTATAAGTTAAACTAACAACAACAAAAAACATGCAACATTTTCAACACCCATCACCCATATCTCTACTTTATGTTTTAAAACCATTTAACTGGATGATTCTTTATATCAGTCAGTTGAAACATTTTTCAAGAAACAAAGAAGGAATTTGAATATAATACAATTATGTTTAAATGTAGAAAAAGATAATTTAAGAAACCAGGTTTTTAATAGCACTAATAACTTCAAAAAAAGTTCCAAAATTATCCAATAACAATTGACCCACAAAGGGGCACTTTTTATACCTTTGCTTTGACATTTTGTTACTTATAAATTTAATAAAGTATTTACATTTTATTTTCATTTTCACAGACTTAAATATCTTCTTAAAGATATAGTGGAAAAATATTGTGAAAAAATCATTAAAAAAACTTTTTAAAGATACGTTTGTATATGCTTTTACTGCCAACATTTCATTAACATCCTAGGAATTAAAATTAAATTTTAACCACTTTTATAATCTTGTATCAATGATTGTTTCCATTCAATTACACTTAAAGTAAATGACAGTATACAATATGCAAAAGTAAATGTAAGCATTAAAACTAATACCATAAATACCTCCCACTACATGTGCAAATGTAAAAAATACCATCTTCTGTTAGCTTTGAAATCCATATTCCTTTTGATTTACAAGGGAGGGTGTGTGTGTGTGTGTCTCATATTGTACTGTTCCTCTAGTACTTAAGTATTAAAACAAATATAATCCTATAATGGTTAATTTTTACCAGTAAGTACCAACTGAGCCCAATGATAATTAACTATTTATAAGTCCCTATAGACACCTTAAATGTTTCAGTAATAAAGTTGCAGAGGCAATTGGTATCCAAAAAAAAACAACCACATTTCTCAGCTTACTGAAACAATGTAGTTACAACTTTCATAAGACATTTTGCCTCAATCTGTCCCATGAAGTAGCCTTCAACAGTCAAACATTTGGTTTCTACACAAATGTCAAGTAGCATTTCTGTTCTGGAAGCCATTACTGCATTCACCACACTACTTCTGGGAATAGTATGACTGTCCATCACAATGTGAACTATCAATACATGAGTGTACTCTAGTGTAGTTAATTTTCACGCAACAGAGAAGGGGCAATCCCATATTATTTGTATTATTATTCACTGTTTCCATAATGGTCTCCAATATTGTGTATATATATGTTGGAATAGTATGACTGTCCATTAAAATGTGAACTATCAATACATGAGTGTACTCTAGTGTAGTTAATTTTCATGCAACAGAGAAGGTGCAATCCCATATTATTTGTATTATTATTCACTGTTTCCATAATGGTCTCCAATATTGTGTATACATATGTTGGAATAGTAGAATCTACAATTTAACAGAACAAAAATTATATAAAATTATAATCATGAAAATAAAATGTTAATCAAAATAAAAAACTCAGTATCATATCTCACCTAAATAATTAGTTTCAGAAATAATTTTCAAGTTTCAAAGTTGGATTTAACAAAGTAAAATAGCTCACCTTTTTTTTCAAAATTTGAATTTAGAATGCCTAATAGCATTTTATTATGTTAATAAAAAACACTAAGGCTTTTCAGAATTAACATATCATCAGAGCTAAGCTGCAGTAGATGAGCGCATGTTCAAATTATACATAGTAAGGGATCTTTATACAATGAATATCACTATTTATCTAACATGTGCTTGTACTTGTGTTGGATATTACAGTATACAGTTACCTTTTGTTATAGTTAAATTAATTATCTTGATAATAACTCACCATAAAGGGGATTCTCAGGTGATGCATCAGCATCATGACAGGATGCCTTTTTTCCCTGTATTTGCTTCAATAAATTGGGAGTGTTTCTAACAGGACTTGCTAATTTTCATATAAGATAAAAATTTTGTTTAGTCACAAAAAAATAGTGTTGCACATGTGAAAGGCACACAATGTTTTTGACCTAATATTTTTTTATTTTTAACTATCTAAAAAGAAAAAGTCTGCTATATAATCTTCTACATTAATCCCTAAAACCTCTTACAGTTAACCTTACTGTTGGCCTTGAAACAGTTTAGTGTAATCATCACCATTATTTTGGTGTACATGCATACGTAATCAACCGATATACACAAATATTCTAAAAATAAAGCTTCTCTTACTATCTTATCGATGATCTAAATAAATAGTCAAATACTGAAGTAACTTGAAAGCGTAGTTTTACTGAAAAAATTGTTCTATTCAATCTGCTTAAGTAAGACTGATTTTTCAAATGCAAAGTTGCTTTTTCTTACCAGAGTTATAAGTATATTTGTGACTAGTGAAATGAAATCAACCTTCAGCAAAGTATTAAGAAAATGAAGTTACATGCAGCTATCCACTGATAGATTGGATTTTTTGTTTTCATAACCACATAAACCACTATTAGCCAGAATGTTGCTCATAACTTAAAGCTCATCTCTGTATTAAAACTGACTGAGACATAAAAGGGGTAACTTGTTACTTGTTTAATACAAATACAAAACATTTAGTACAAATCTTTGCCAATTTTTATTTTCAGTTTAAAAAAGTACTGTTGAATGTAAACACTATTACAATGATAACAAGTATTAATTCAATTTTTTTTCCAACACAAATTTCCCACAAAGCTACTTGAGGGCTAGCTGCATTAACCATCCCTACTTTTGACATGATAGACGAGAGGAAAGGCAGCCAATCAACTCCACCCACCACGAACTTGTGGGCTACTTTAATCGAATCATAGGATTTGACCATCACTCTTATAATGCAACCATGGCCCCAGCACGATTTCTCTTTCGCTGAACCGTGGAACTACGATATAGCACAATAACCATTTGGTCATGCTCTGCTCCCACATAACATTACTCAGTTTTTTTTCCTCCCAGATTTTATCTCATTTTTCATTGGTAAAATTAAATCCTAAGAATTCTCTAGGAAGTTAAAAAAAACAAAAAACAGCAGAACCTTACTGAAAGGGCAAAGAGAAATTCAACATAAATTTGTACTTCACAAACACCTGATTATGTGACATGCACAAGTTTATTTCAATTGTTTTACCAAAACAATTAATGTTTTTTGATGTTTGTTTATACACATCAGTATATTTCAAATCTGTTCAATGTTAAATCATACCTTAGAGAAGCAGAAAGTGAATAGAGCAATTAAATATAGTCAAACATTACTCATAAATTTTAGAAACTAAGAATAAATAGACCTGAAACATTTCAATTTTTATTATTGAATGTCTAATGTAATAAAAAAACAAAGAGGAATACCTGAAGAACTGCTTAATTCCTGGTCATTTTCTGAATCTTTATCCCCATTTAGATGAGGGAGGGAGTTTGATTTCTCAAGAGGGACACTTTCATACATTGGTCCCAGTACATCCATAAACTCTGCAACACTGTCTGAATATGACATTGTTTCTATGATCTAAACAAAGGAAGAAAATACTTTGTTACTTATTTAAATAACATGCAAACAACAAAGCAGACAAGTATATACAGGAAACACATGCATATATGTCACCATTCTGGGTCCAAGTAAATATTAATGAAATTGTAATACAGTTTAGATCTGTTTAACTCATTTCTCTGCTTAATATTGAATCTTCATCTTCATTTAATTTTAAAACAATATATGCAATCTAAAAACCTTGTATGAAACACAGAAAAAAAAAACAGTAATAAATAAATCAAGCTTCATTTTTACTTGATGAATAGTTGAAAATAAATACAACAAATTTAAAGTACTTAGAAATTATTTACAGAAACATCTTTCTTTTTTCTGTATTTTGTTAGGAAATTTGACAATATTACAAAGAAAACTTATTTTATATATGAAAACCATATTAAACTGTAAATCATTTCAGTAAACACTAAGTTCAAAATATATTGTCATCAAATACTTTATGTTATTCTAGATTTGAGAGCAGCTTTCCTCAAATTTGTTAATGTTTTATAAACATAAAAGTTTTAAGGACAATAAAATATTACTCAAAAGAACACAAAACTATTTGTATTTTAACAGTTTTATTATATAGACCAAAAATCATCTCAACTCCACCTTTTTCAACTCCCCCACATAATTCTCCATTGCCTCTTCTCGGGGCATTTCCCCCAAAGCATGCCAAGCATCCCTATTAAAGAAAAATAAGGTCCAAATGATTCTACTAACTTACATTAATATTAAACTTTTTTTACTTCTAACTGCAAAAATTATTTTCACTCAAGCAGTAAATGAAAGTTTTACAAATAATACAACAGAAATAATCAATGAAAAAAAGTTAATATCACTCTTCTAAACTACAAATATCAAATACTTTGTTCAGAGGTGCTACAAAACAACTAGGGAAAGAGTTCCATATGGCACCCCCACCCAAAAATTGTAGAATTGCCTGGATAAAAAAAGATTCTGAAAAGGGTTTATTTTAAGGGGCGTATTAGAAAAATTGGGGCATGGCTTTTGGGGGTTTACAAAAAAAAAAAATGAAAAAAAAATGTTCCAAACTACTTTACAAGACATTTGTAAAGTTATCCCCAAGAAGATTGTACATCTAATTAATGAAGTAAGTGGTATAATAATGTATTAAAATTATCAGATCATACTATTAATATGATTTATTAATACATAAATATTACTTTGATGAATTTTTTTTTAAATTGAGTGGGGGTGCCATATGGAACTCTTACCACAACTAGTATAAACTGTTCTAATAAATACTATAAGGTGAGAATCACAGAACGTGTACCATTTAGTTTTGTTGATAACATCCCAAAAAGATGGTCTAGGTTGAGAACATGGTCCTTCAGTTGCTTGTTTAAAGTATGAGTAGAATTTAAGCTTTAATTCATTTGAAGGTTGAAAAGGTCCTGGAAAATATAACAGTACACACATTAAATTTGGCTTTCTATATAGTCAAGTGAAATGACCAGCAGTTAAATTTTGTAGAACCATACTATATTATATATTTATTGTTACTTTCATTAACAATATTGGTTAGACTTATATATATGTAGAATGTTGTTACTTTTTAATTATATTTTTTATTATTGTACTTTAGTTATAGACATTAATTTGCACTGTTAGCCTAAATATGTAGTTATGACTCACCTAAGATGCCAAAATTTCCCGAGATATTATTAGGATTATGACTATATATATTGTTAACAGCAAAGATACACAACTGATGAAACAATGCATTCTAATCTTTGTAAGTAGGAACATAAGAATACTATACTTAATTAGCTATACTGGTTGCCAGGTTGATCTTTAGTTTCTCAGTACATAGCTTGTGCGGATCAGAAGTTAATATTAATTATTCATATACATTACACATATTAAAATGTACTATTATCCCTATTTTCTTATACATAAAGTTGGAAAATCCATTTTCACTATATCCAAGCTGATTGGCATAGCTGCCAGATAAAAGTTGAGTGACAAAAGTGGTTGATTATTAAACCCTTACCACTACACCCAAGCTGATTGTGGTATAGTTGCCAGATAAAGTTCAGTGGCAAATGTAGTTGATTATTAAACCCTTACCACTACACCCAAGCTGATTGTGGTATAGTTGCCAGATAAAGTTCAGTGGCAAATGTAGTTGATTATAAAACCCTTACCACTACACCCAAACTGATTGTGGTATAGTTGCCAGATAAAGTTCAGTGGCAAATGTAGTTGATT